AAACGATCATCTTCTCAGCTACCACACATATACTGTACTGTCCCTTTGCACTCAATCCTGATTACTTATAGTTAACTCTCAGGGCTTGTCTTTTAACCACAGAGGTGGGGAATCTTAAGAAACTGACTGGGGTACAGGGGTTTAGGTACACCCAAGTGGAGGAAGCCCACTGTGACTCCACAGAGAAAACCAGGAAGCACAGGGTTGGCGAGGCTCCTTCCCCTTGGGATTGCTACTCCCATGGAGTAACTAGAGGCAAACAACACCTTCCTAGACATTTTAGGATATGGACAGGCACTAAATCAGGGCACCTGCCAACCTCACAATCAAAAGTCCCAACTAGAAAAGTTTTCATGGCTCTTTGCTGTTAATGGCTCTTTGAGGAAGACAGGACATAACCTTCCAATGATGTTCTTACTTACTCATTTATTTTCCAAATGAACTGAGACAGTTTAGAATTAACAAGAAAAACAGAATCCATAAAACAATCATTAATGATAACAGCTAACATTTACTGAGTATAGATTAAGTATGGACTGCGCACTAAGCACTCTCCTAAAAGCTGCACATGCGATACTGTTTCATCCTTTTATCTTTCACAACCTTGATGATGGGCACTACTTTTATCATTCACAATTTTACAGGTGGAAAAAGAAAACATAGACAAGTTAAGACATTTATCCATAGTTAGTCATACAGCTAGTCAGTGGTGCAGCCACTGGTAATCGGGTAATCTGACTCCCCTAGTGATGGTGACTATGTTACTCTGCCTCCCTAAAACGCAGTAAAAGGACAGTGCTAAGTAAGATTCCAGGAGTGTTAACAAGCAAAGGTACAGATTAGAAAAATGGCTCAAACTGAAAACAAAATTTGGCGTAAGCTTCCTAGTAGTCAATTCTTTTTTCTTTTTTTTGAGACAGAGCCTCAAGCTATCCCCCTGGGTAGAGTGCTATGGCATCACAGCTCACAGCAACCTCCAACTCCTGGGCTCAAGTGAGTCTCCTGCCTCCACTTCCCAAGTAGCTGGGACCACAGGTGCCTGCCACAACGCCCAGCTATTTTTTGGCTGCAGCCATCATTGTTGTTTTGGCAGGCCTGGGCTGGATTCGAACCCGCCACCTTAGGTGTATGTGGCTGGCGCCTTAGCCACTTGAGCCACAGGCGCTGAGCCAGTAGTCAATTCTTAAAGAAAAAGATGAGGAATTAGCCCCAGCAGGGTAAGCACCCACCCTGGGTTGCACTGGACGGAGAGGTTCCCAGAACGTGGAACGTTCAATGCTAAAACTGAGATGGCTGGATACTCGAGCTTTATAGTACTTTATTGGCCCTCAGATCGTGAAGAACATATAAAATCTCTATGGTGTTTTCTACATTAGCTCTTTCAGCCCCTCCTTCCATCAATACTCAAAATACGAAATAATTTTCTCAACATTCTCCTTGGGAAAAACGAAAGGGTTGTGGAAAAATGCAGCCCTGTTAATTGCTGGGTTGCAATCACCACATCTGTTAGGATGTTCAAGACTCCGGGTAAGGGGAGACACACATATTCTAGGTTAAATTTGCCCTGCCACTCCAGCTGAGCTTTAATTTTCTTTCCTAAAGTTTTACAGGATTGCTTTCCTTAAAAAAAAAAAAAAAAAAAAAAAAAATGGGCAAGGCCTCTTTGCCTCAAAGGAGTAGGGTGCCAGCTCCAGCCAAAAACTGCAAAAAAAAAAAAAACAAAAAAAACTTCCCTATGTAACAAGCAGAGATTTAAGCCAGTCCTTCTTGGAGAGCACCGTGGCAGTGTTTTCAGAACTCAAGAGATGCAAACTAAACCAGTATCTCGTGAACACCAGGTCTGAAATTACCCATGAACTTTATGAAGATGGGGACTGGGTCTAATTCATTTGTGTTCTCCCCACACCATCACCCTGTAAATAAATGTTAGCTTCACTGAGATCTTAGTAAGAGCTGAAAACGATTCTTAACAGTCATTTGGTGCGAATGTTTACTGACGGATAAACTGAGGCCTAGAGAAGAAAAGTAAGCTGCCCAGGGTTAATCACCAAGCTGAGCGAGAAGAGTGAAGTAAGTGGGCAGTGGGCAATTCCTAACAAAGCTGAGAAAACCACAGCTACTGCCACCAGGCTGTTCTCAAGAAAACAAGAGATCATCAAAGGGACAGGGAAGGATTTTAACTCCAGTCCAAGTGATTGTCACAAGTCTCCAGAGACCTCAGGGGTAAGTAAAAAAGGAAAGAAACGGTTCTAAAAATCCCACCTGAAATAAATGAGCAACTATGCGAGTGGAAAAGACAAAAAGTCCTCAGGGAGAGAATCAAACCTCTGCCATGGCACGTTGAAAATTTCAGAAAAACTGAACATTTTATAGATATTGTCTAACCAATTGAACTTTCTATTTATACTAAGGACAATTTTTTTTTTAACATAACAGAAATATAACCTGATTGCATTCAATCCAGGTACTTGAACTCTTACTATGGGCTAGTCACTGTGCTAGATCATCGGGTCTGCAAAACAATAGTATGGGCCTAGAAAGAAAAAGTAAAGCCAAGGGAGAGCGAGCCAACATGTACGTCCAGGCCAATATTCAAAAGGTCAGGACCTGACAGAAAAATTCCAGTGAAAATCTACAAGCATCAATCACAATTTCTCAGCTCAATGCATCATCAGATCAATGGATCAATCAATCAATCAGTATTTCTGAACATCTGTCACCTGCTCAGAAGCACAATCCCTGCTTTAAGAAGTGAACAATGTAGATGAAAGGCTAAGATATAGAGGCACAGATAGAGAGATGGAAGAAAATAATACTGGAGGTGGCACAAAGTCAATGCCATAGGCGTGTGTGGTGGTGGGTATGCACAATCATTTTGGTTTAAGAAGGGAAAGAGAAAAGATACCTCGTGTAAGTGAGGGACCTAAACTGGTTCTGAGGCATTTGTCGAGCAGAGCAGAAAGGTCTCACAGCTATCAGAAAGGGAAGGCAACGCCACTCATGTTAAAGGGCCCAACGTATGCTCAGGAGACAGTGAGCTGACTTGTGTGGCTGGAGCAGAGGGTCCAGGGAGGAATCCCTCACCAGGGATAAAAGCAAAAAGGCTCAGAGGAAACCTCCTGTGGAAGAATCCTCTAGTCCCAGAGGATAGAGGAAAAGGGCTGCACAGCTGTGTAAGTTGCCATTGCAAACCCCATTTTTCCAGCCATTTTTTTCAAAAGAAGTATAATGTGATCCTTCAAATTGGTTATGGCTAGCTGTAAGCAGATCGATTCTCAAGTTACACGATTTTTAAAATATCTCTGTGCATTCACAGTTTGCCAGTAGAATCTCATGGCCAAGAACAAGTGAGCAGATGTCTGCAGACCTGAGGACTAAGCTCAAGTTCCCCAGCAGTCATGTTCCAAGGAATCTGGAAAAAAACATACTTTCTTTTTGCCTGATTGGAAACAGGATCCACAAAGTGCCTTGTGATTCTTTAACACAAACGCCACACCAGCAAAACAGACCTAAAGGTATCTTAAATCAGAGCTTAAACAAATTCTGTACCATTTGATGAAAACAAACAGAAACAAAAGAATAGAAATATATTTGAAATGAATGCGGATTTATTATTCACAAAAGCCATTTCCATACCCAAAAAACCTTACTCCCTTTAAAAACTTTTTCTTAAAATCATGTTAGCAGTCCCTCATAACTATGAACATATTCTGATGTAAAGAAAGTATAAAGTTCTTAGAGTACTATCGAACTAACCATTTACAAGGATTTTTTTTTTCCTTTTCTTGTTCAAGCATGCTGTTTTAGTATGGCCATTTGCAGAAATTTCATCATAGGTAATTGAGTGGCTTTCCAGAATATACTCACAAAGCAACTTTCAGTATTTACACTAATATCCAGGCAGCCCAGGGAAAGACCTTTTTGCTTGGTTAATGTTTCTAAATTTGAGGAGGACTTGTGTGTGTGTTTGGGAGGGGACCTACTAATTTTTTAAAGGCCCACATGAAACAATTAAAAACGAGTTCGTGACTTAGACATGCTTCAAGTTCAATTCTTCCAGGAATGGTAAAAGCAGTCAACAGAACCCTCATCTCCTCTCTATGCTGACTATGCCACAGTGTACAAAGACATTTAGTCCTACTTTGAAAGACTCATGGTAGACAGTGGAAGAGTCTCATAGAGAATGAGCGTCAGGCCTTGAAGGAACAAGGGACATCATGACCTTTCACACCCTTCTGTTAAAAGCTCAGCACATCCTATACCAGAAGACCAGAAAAAAAATTGGTGTGCAACCAGGTGCCCTCCGTGAAATCCTCGCCTCTGGGTTTCTCCCACACTCTGTCCCTTAAATGGTTTAAACCTCCACATGACTTAAATAGTATTAGGGAGTGAGAGAAAAGTATAATTCCTAGAACCAACTGTTCCACTGTCCCTTAATCCTTTGTTCCCCATATTGTTTGAGTCCTGCAGCATGCAACACACGTTCCACCAGCAACAGGCAAGACAATGGATTGAGCAGTAGCTGGACAATTAGTCCCAATTAGGCCTATTTCCCAGCTGAATATGGGGTGAGGTGTGGGGAAAAACTATAGAAATTTTAAAGAACTATTTCAGCATGGAAGCAAGCCATACGAGGTAAAGCAAACTGACCTAAAGGTCAGGGGGCTTGGCCAAAATTCACTGTGTGATATTAGGCAAATGCCTTAACCTCTCTGTTCTTTTCTGTTTTCATCTATAAAATATGGACAACCACTACCCTTCCGAGCTTCTGAAGATCTAATGTCAAATTAATAGTTGAAAGTGCTCTGAAAATCTGAAATGTTACACGGACATTGGGGATTCCTCCCAAGCTGTATTAGAAACCACAGATAACCGTCTGTTTTGCAAACCGTTTACCTTTTATCCTCCCTAGCAGGAGATATTAGTGAACGCTCTTCTTTGTCACTTTATTTCTATTTCCTGGATTGCTAGTTTCTTCTACGTTCATGAGCGATACTTACATATGTACATGCGGTGGCTGGAATCTGCTCTGGTTGATGTTGTAGTGTGTGAACGCCTGGGTGGGGTTTGAGCTGTACTCATCCACCGTTATGGTAACTTTGCCTTGAGAAGGAATCCCATGTGCCATCCTTCCTCCCTATAGACATGAGCAATTCACAACTGTTCAGAGCAGAAGGTGGAAGCAGGCATGGTGCATTTCAGCCAACCTCTGAAGCCAAGGGTCTAGTCATCAATACTGCTGTGTGTTTCTGAAAGAAAAAGAAAAAAACATATATGTGTGTGTGTGTGTATAAAATGAAAACAAAGACAGTATGTTCTAAGAGACATTAAGTTTGACATCTCGACGTGGAATTAGCTCAGGGATCATCTGAATACGTGCTGTTGTCTCGTGATACTTCGTGCACTTCAGACCGGACATTACACTCTACCTGTCATTGCTGGGTGCTAGCAAATCATCTCAATGGAGTTCAAACTAAGATTTCCTCTTTAATTATAATTATAGCACTTAATGAGAATTACGAAAGGGGCATATCCACAGTTGCCATGGTGTCTAGCTATAAATGGTCTGTGCTCAAAGTTTGTGCTTCCTGCTAATTGGAATGTTTACTCTTCACAAAGTTGGTGTCATATAATCATTTGAAAGCTCAAGGCTTAAAACAGCCAGATAATACAGTGACAAAAACACATTTTGAATGCTGAGCTTGTAACGCATACCTGCATCACACACAGTAAACACACATGACAAGTAATTTCTTTTCTTTCACAGCTCCCCCAAATAACACAGGTACTCCATGCCTGGTAAACGTATGCATTCCTCTGTGGCCAAGAACTTAGGGTAAGGCAAATCCTTCTTGCTAAATGTAGTGTCATTTCTTTAAACGTTCTGGTCACCGAGGGGGGAAGCCAAACTCATGGAGTGCCTGGCCCACCACTTCGAATGCATTTTCTGCCTCCCTTGTGCAACCCCTGACAGAGTTGTAAAGGAGGGCAGCCGTTGTATCAGCCACCTTATTCTTGGGGCTGCATAATTCTCAGTAGTGGGTTTCATTCTTTAAAAAATTTCCAGTAGTTCTGATTCTTCATATAAATGTGAATATATTACGCATATTTGCCGCACTGGGTTGAGAAGTGAAGATGTCTATCTTTATGGCAGGTGTGCAAAGAACGAGGAGAGCAAATCCTTTGCATGGAAGCTGCTACAACGGATCAGTGTGGTGGAGACGCATGCTCCTCGGACAAGCCCGCGGTAACCCACACTCTTACTTGAAGAGCTCCGCGTCAGAATAGGTTTGCCCTGTGCAGCATTAAGCTCTGAGCATCTTAAGTGCCATCTCAAATAAAAATATTTAGAATACTAAGATTAGATCTAAATTTGGCATGAAATACCTTAAATATCCAGCAAAAGGCAGATGGGCTGCCATAGGCCATTTATTTTATTATTTTACAACCCAGGGCTTTGTGTAGCCCTCCATATGCTAGCTGGGCTAAGAAATTCCAGAGTGTTCTACCCCAATCCTTGCCTTCCTCATATTAGCAAAGTAAGCTAAATAACAGCCACTTTGCCTGGGTCCCTGATGTACAACTGCACTACCAAGAGATGAAGCCCTGGTGCTCTGGCATTTTAAATAAAGTGTCACTTTGGCTTCCCTCTCTTTTTCCTGACTTCATGGGAGGTAAGAGTCCTTTAAGCACCAGCTGATAGACAACCAGGCCAGTAGGATTAACTAAATTAAAATCTCTCCTGGCTCCTCTGATGTACCCTATCTATAAGAACTGCTTGCAAATCATAACGTAGCAGTTTTCATACCAAGTTTGCAGCTGTTTCCTTAATTTCCCCCACAATTATATTTTACTGTTATTTTGCATAACAGTAAAACACAACACCTGCTTCAAATTGCAGTCCTGTTCTAAGTACTGTAATTCTCTTTTGAGACACAAAGTACCGAGACACTACTGAAGCGCAAAACTGCATAATTGCGTGGCACTGAAAAGTAAATACAAATGAAAACATCTTCCTGTTATAGAAATGACGGTCATTAAAAAGAATGTTAGCCATCAAAGCACAGAGGGGGAAAAATACACATTTTCAGACTGCAAGAACTTAGTGTTTGCATAAATTAGAGAGTGGTGTAAAAATTACTTGGCAATTCTTATGTCTCTTCTTCCATCAATGTCTATTGTGTGAAACGCAGAACATTAAGAAGCAGAGGAAAACAAATTCATGTCTAGACCACTATGACCTCTGAGTAGCAATCTATATACCTGGTGCCAGAAAGACTTCCAATGTTTCCACAGTAAACTCACTGACTAAACTAAGCAAAATGTGGTCTAGAAATAAAACGGACACATGAAACATTCAAAAATCTATGCACTGACTTACAGTAGTATGCATGAGGCCCTCCTATGGTCCCCCAATTGAAGCTGAGGAGAGACAGAACTCAGGAGGAGATAATTCCAACTCCTCAAAGATGATCCCAAAGTCATCCTTTCGATCACCGAACATCTATGCCTCTCGGTACCTTTGCCCCAGCAAGACGAATAGGCCATCTTTTCAGCAGCAAGCACAGGCCCCTATAACTCGGAAGGGCTAAATGGGTGTCTGGCCACTCATCTGAATTCATCTTCACCATGTTCCCTTTCAAATGTTTTATCGAAACAGTGCACCTGCAGTGACTATCTTCTTTAATCTAGAGTCCTTTGAAGAAAATGTCAGACTGAGGCAAAGAGCTTCAAAACTTTCCCAGCATCTTCAGCGACAAGTCAAGAAAAGGCTTATTTTTAAAAATGCTACTCAACCCCTCCCCACACACACATCTCAAAATGAACATACCCTAAGAATATGAAGCAGAAACACGTGGGAAAGACTGGTTGCCCTGGCAGACGCTCAGAGACGGGGGATAACGGGCAAAATCACCTCCTTTCACTTGAGAAATTAGAAGAAAGATTGAAACAAGACAGACACGTTGTCTGAAACTATCAAGAAGCCGTCTGACCTGGCTTTGCAGATTTCGACAGCAAAACCTTCCAAATGGTCAGATTTTTGTGCACCTCGCCCTCCTTACACTTACATTAACTTTTTACACATGATATTTAAAGATAGCAGTATTCTTTCTCATTTTTGTTTTAATTTTCATTTTATACTTCAATACGCTTGTTCGGCATAACAAAGGAAACCAACACAAAATGCCAAGGAGCCTAAAGAAAAAAACCTAAAAGGCACCTAAACTGCCAAACATTCATGCTGGTGCTAGTTTGATTTTGTCTTTTAAAAAAAATCATGTGAGCACATTTTGCATTTCCTAGACAGCAATCACTTCTGTCCCTTAAGCTGTACAACTAACAATGTTCTTTTCCAGGAATCTAGTTGGAAAACCTTTTAAGGTTGGCTGGCACTGAAGGGATTAAAAGCTGAGGAATTAAATAACTGTCTCCACCTCCTAGACTCGAGAAGTCCGATTTACCAAAAGTTTCAAAGCTACAACTCATGACCTCTCCACCGTGCACTGCCCGGCACAGCCTATGAGAAAGGAGCCCACGATTTCCTCCTTGAAGCAAGGATGCTCATTTTAATCCCTTGCCCCAGAAGAGCCTGGCCAGACTTTGGAACTTGCCTGCTCCAAATCCGCCACATCGCGCTCTCTCGGTCCTCAGCCGCACGGATCCAGTGCGTTCTCCACTCACGCCCCTACTCTTTTATGCCCACTTCCAGCTACTCGTCCCTGTCTCTGGGAGCGATGCCCACACGCCTTCCCAGCGGCTTCTCCGCCAGGTTTTTGTGGGGGATGCTGACATGAAGTTCCACGTGCCTCGGTGCACAGAGCGCCCTCCCTCCCACTGCACTTACACCTGAACTTGTCTCCAGCACTGCGGACACCCGGCTGGCACATTCTTTGGGAGAGGGAGGGCAAGACTTTACTCCCGCGCCTCTGGCGACTCGTGGGGTCTATATAAGGTCGGGCGAGAGGGGGGCGCGGAATTCGCTACTTTGGATTGGTTTGTTTGTTTTAAATCTAGGGTGGGCAGTTGCGCGGGGGGGGGGGTATGCTTCAGCAACTACACACGCGCACACACACACACACACACACACGCACACTCGCCCTGCCCTCCCGGCTCACGGCCGGCTACTCCCAGGCAAAGCTCCCCTTTCCTTCCTGGAGCACCAGCTGGCCTTACTCGCTCAGTCCCCCGTTGCCACCTCCGTCGCCTCCGCTGCCACCGCTCCCGCTGGCGCTGCCGGCGCTAGCGCTCGCGGCCCCGTGCTCCGCTGGACGCCTATCTTTTTTCTCTCCTTCTCCCCTAGCCCTGGGTTGATTGATGACCATCGGCGGCCAATAGCTCTGACACCACGCCATCCTCGGTCGGGCATCGTAGCCCTACGCCCCCTTCGTCAGCCTTCAGGGCTCGTTGGCATCCCTGAAGCCACCGAGCGGAGCCCGAGCCGGGAGCCGCCGCGCCTCCCTCCTCTGTGCCCGGGCTCTGCCAGGCTCCTTTCCCGAGCGGCGGAGAAAGGAAGGGAGGGAGCCAGCGAGCGTTGGAAGGGGGTGTGGAGGCCACGGGTTCCCCTCCTCTTTTGAAATCTTTCCTTTCACTTAAAGTTTTGCTTGTTTTTTCCTCCCTGACCTGTTTGTGTTTATTTGTTCGCAACATCTCAAATCAGTTACACATTTTTTCATGAACCGCAATCGCACTTAATTTGGTGTGTGTGTGTAGGGGGATAGATGTACTACTATAAATCACCCCCACTGGGGCTTCCTTAATTTATTTTCTTGTTAGAGTCCAACCTCCTCCCGAACCTCCAGGAAAATGCCCTCTTCACCTCCTAGGCCGCAAAACCCTGGAATTCAAAGGGTTTACAAAGATAACCTTGTTATGTGTAAATAGCAAAGAAAACTCCTGCCTCCGAAGAGAAGAAATTCAGCGGCAACGGTTACTTTTTCGTCCCCCGCCTCCCAGCTCCGAGCCCTGCTCGGGTCGCCAGGTCGCTCCGCAGGCTGCGATTGTGGAGACCCGAGGCGGCGGCGCAGAGTGAGGTTGGGACGCGGGGACAGAGTGGGAAGAAGCCCGGCGCGAGAGCAGCGCGCGTGCGGGCGGCCCCGGGGCGCAGCCGGAGCACAAAGCTGCGCGGTGCCTTCCCCTCGGTCACTGCACCTGGCCTCGGGCCGCCGCGGGAGCCCGGGGATCCGGCCAACACAATGCACCCGGGCCTAGGCCGGGGCGGCTCGAACACATAACCCCGGGACTTTCTAGTAA